AGACCCAACTCCAAATCTTGAAGATGAAAACCCTCTTCTCCTTCAAGTCTTCAAAACCCTCTCAAACTGAGGGTAGAAATATCAAAAAAGTACTATTCTATTGTGAATATTATAATAATGGTCCGACTCTCTAAAAATTCATAAAGAGTTTAGTATATATAGACTTCAAAAATTAGTGCTGGTGAATTATTTGACCAAGTTAGTCAGATTCGCTGATTAACTCATCGATTCTCTTTTTGTGTAGTTCATCGCCGTCTTGCACTAGCCTTCAGCATCGTCGTGCTCTGTGTCATTGGGCGACATGGTACTGCTTCGCGGATCTATTCGGCGAAACGCCGACTGCTCCTTTCATTGCCTTTTTGATCCTGCTCCTTCAGGCTTCGCGTACTGGAACAAAAGGCGGAGTGTGTCCCTTCGGCGAATTGCCAAGCGTGCTTGGCGATGCTCAAGCTTCAGCTTCTTTATTCTTTTCAGCCCTTTTGTTCCTTTTTGCGCCTAAGTGTCCATGCTTTCACTAAAACATCAAATACCTGGAACTTAACTGTTTTCATCAGATATTTAGAATAAATAAGCATTTGAGGACACTACTTCTATTAAAATAAAGCCCTAAATGAGTCCAATTTGTGGACTCATCAACACCTCCAACTTAAACTTTTGCTTATCCTCAAGCAAACTCAAGTTCAGCCGTTCAACAAGGTATCTCAAATAGTGCTACACAAGACTAAATCATGAACATACACAACAAGAGTCAAATTACTTATGCAAAGATCAATTGTGTACTCAATGATTCAAGCTGTAAAACACCACTACCAAAGATTCTCATGCTCGCAATACTTGCTACTTGTGCAAGCTCAAGCCCAACAAAAAGTATCTAAATGCCCTCACATAAAGAATAATTCCTCATTCATACAAAGAGGTTAATCAATTAAAGATCAAGAATTAGATGCAATGCTCACACTAAAAAAGAGGAACACAATGCATGTTTTCACCCATAGGTTTACCTTATTTTCAAATCGATCTTCAATTCGGCTCACTCAAGATCAAAAAGGTCTTTCTAAGGCTTGTTATGAGGCTAAGTGCAAAGGTATGGTCATTTAGGCTCAATGCTTTTTTCTCATGAGATATGGTATTCTCAAAGTTTTCCCGATTTTTCCTTTATCAATTCTTTTTCTAGTGCTTCTAAGTCATCTTTTTATTCACTTCCATGGATTGCTTGGAAATCCGATTTCTTTTGTATTTTACTCCACAACCTTTTTTCTCTTTTGATTAAAGGGTTTCCGTTGTTCAACACCATGGGTTAAGGGGGACTTTTCATGCACTACTTGACTTCTCCTTTTCCTTTTCACCATACCCCCAACTTAGGCTTTTGGCCTAAGTTGGCTATTTGCTAAACCACAAATCAAGAGGATTACAGGTAGTGGGTCAAGTAGGGACTAGGGTTCATCAAGGTTCTTCCAAAGAAAGGTAAGGCTAAAGGGGTGTTAAATAGAGTTTCACACATTCACAAGTAGGCCACAAAAGAGGTATATGTCAAATTTGGTTCACACTCTTTAAAGTTGCCTAAGATCATTTCAAGAACACACATTTCTAAATCAATTAGACTAACGGGGAAAATTCTGGGTTTATTCATGCATGGTTCAAAGTAAGCTAATAAAACAGGGCATCGACACTTAAGTCAAACAAGACTACACACTTTCACTAGTGTGCAACGGTCATTACAAGAGGATTAATTCAATAAATGGCTAGTCACAACAAGATGAAAAAAGTTCACATATTGCCTATGCAACTTCATTTGGTCTCGTCGTAGCCGCGCATTCATGTTTGTTCGATTGATAGCACTATTCAAGTCATCATTCTTGATCGGGACTGAGACTTAAATTTTGCAAAAGAACAACCACTTTCAACACATGAGAGGTGGCAAAAATATGCCAAAAATTCAAAATTTTTTGGAAGTGTCAAAATTGTTTTTGTAATTAAAACAAAAGGAACAAGTATCCATGACAAGAAAAACAAGCAAAACAAAGTGGGCCTCACCTCACCACAAATAAGAGCATTTGTCGTCAAATGCAAATAATGACAGTAACCAGAGTTGAAGAAAGATAAAACAAGGAGAGAGGTAAAGAAGAGTCATGTCTATGCCGTCTCTCTATCTGCAGGGGCATTAGTGCCCAATACATCTCCCTGAAGTAAAACAACGATTCCCGGAGTATCGCTGTTTTGGTCCTCTCTGTTTGTCTTTGCCTTGGCCTCTTCAACAAGATTAGCTACAATCATCTGATCTATCTCATGAGCTTCTTCGAAGGTCCGTATTGCATTAACTAAACTTCGAGCCCATGGAGGGACATTAGGGTTAATGGGAACTCATCTCTTTGCGCTGGCTTCCTAGGTATATTTCCTTTATCTAGCTAGCTCTACTTTATTTTCATCATTTTTAAATTCTCGTGCTCTTATGTGCCTGGGTGGATCATTTCTCCCTGTGACTTTTGATCTATCCAATAAAGACTTCGAGGATAAGTTAGATAGTAATTTAAACAGGGGCAAAAGGTTGTTTCTGTGTGTGGAATCGCTTAGCCAAGCTAGTTGGCGAATTGCTTATCCTGTTAGGCTAATCGTTGAAAATGATATACAAATGATACAAGGGCACAGACAAAGGGCAAACAAGGAATCTTTCGGTGAGCCGCCGAGTGCATTTCTCAAATTAAACTGACTGCCAAAATTCACAGATCAATGAATACATAAAGTATTCAGTTAAAGGTGAAATTGGGACATTAGGTGAACCGCCAAGCAGTTCGGGGGACTTTGTTCATCTCACCGATCAGCTCAACGTGTCTTTTTTTTAATCCAGCCTTTCAAATTTCACCCTGCAACCCTAGATAATGCAACTTAAGCTTATATAACTCAATTTCAACGAAGAAACAAAGAAACATTTAATCCCACCGCATAACATTTCAACTAAAAGCATAGCTAAGTTGGAGTCCCTCAAATCATGCAGAAAATACTAAATCATAATCAATGTTGTATGGAATCCCAATAAGTCAGAGACTCAACCAAGATTTTATACTATCAATCATTATATAAATAAGTACAAATGAGGTAATTATTCGAGAGAAATTTTTCTTAGTTAAAGTCCACTTTACCCACAACGAATTAGCATTACCGGTAATGAGATACACCTATTAAGTTGAGTTGGACAATTGTTTAGTCAACCCCCCAAGTCTTTTCTAGTTATCTGATTATTTCTTGTTGATAATTTGAAATGGGTTGGTAACAATATCTTGAAATTTGATTGTGAAACTCGTATGTGTTGTGTTGCTCAGCTACAAAGGACATTGTCATACTTTCATATTTGAATTCAAAGAAAGCTACTCTCCGTGGGATCGACCCAAACTCTATTGGTTGGGTTATATACTAACGATCATTGACACTTAGAATTGGATGAATTGTCTTTAAAACGTTAATCAAAATGACGCCGCTGCCGGGAAGTTGTGTTACTCTGAGTTTTTTTATCAAAGATTTGACTTGTGAATTTGTTGGTTGCAGTTGAATCGGCTTAGACTGCATTGTGTAGTTTTGGTTGGACTAAATAGAAGTAAAAATGAGTGAGGAAGAGGTGAATGGTAGCCCATCAGGCTATGGGGACGGTATCGATGATATCTATAGTGTTTACAACCCATCTCAACCTGGTGAAATGGGTGCAATTTGCCTATAACAAACTTACGGGAAGGCAATATTTGAGGTCACTAGCACGAATCTTCATCTCCTCCAAATAAGGGAACTCTATGGAGAGCTAGAACACGAAGACCTGCATAAGCATGTGAGAAATTTTATAGAGGTGTGCAGCCCGTTTTCATTCAAGAATGTGTCACTAGAGTGAATCTGGCTTAGGTTATTTCCACTATCTTTGACAGGGGGAGGCTAACAAGTGGTTGGCCGAGTTACCAAACAATTCCATCACATCATGGGTGAAGCTTATTATAGCATTCAATGCGAGATTATTTCCCCCATCAAGGATGATGAAACTTAGAGATGACATCCAAAGTTTCAAACGATGGGAGGTGAACCCATCCTTGAAATGTGGGTAAGGTTTAAGAAACTCTTACTTAAATGTCCTACTCACGGGCTACCAAATGATTTGCTACTCCAATATTTTACCGGACTCTTGATTCGGTTAATAAAGGAGTGGTTGATCAATTGGTACGTGGAGGAATAATGTTGCAATCATTTAAGGTGGCTTCATTTCTTCTTGATGACGTGATTAAAATAAATCAAGCTTGGTACACTCAAGAGGATCAAGTCTCTCCTTTTTGTTTTAAAATGACACAAAAACAACTTGATAAGGAAAGAGAAAGGGATAAAAAAATCTAGAAGATGTTGACCCAAATGGAGCTATTACAAGAGCATATGATGGAGAATGTGGGAAACCCAAGGGGCAAGTGGAGTGTTTAGTGTTGAGGAGGGTTCTTCCTCAGGTTATTTAGAGTCGGGGGAGAATCAAGGTTGGAACTCCAAGAGATACGAGGAGGATTTCCACCCATGCTATTAACAGCTAGGTGGGAATCAAAGTTGGAACTATCACAAGGGGGAAGAGCAAAGAAGATACTATCAAGATTGGGCTGAGCATAGTGACTATTGGAAAAGGGAGGATGAACATGAAGAGGACCACACTCACTCGAGTGAGAGCCCAAAATTGAAAGGGAGTGCAAGTAGTCCCCAGGTGAATGATTTGTTGTCACACATCCTTGATAAAGTTGAAAGTTCAGATGATTTGTTAAAACAGATGTAAGATAAATATTCATCATTGAACAATAAAGTGAACTCTCACGCAGATGCAATCAAGATACTTGAAGGTCAGTTAAGTTTACTTTCAGCACAATTGAAACCAAAAATGACAATGGAAGATGATGATAGAGGGCTGGCTGTGGTTACTCGTAGTGGAAAGGTAGCATTAGCCGATGTGATGGGTAATGAAGAAGCTCAAATGAATGAAAAAGAAAAAAGATATGGAGGAAGAAGAGACACCTATCCATCAAAGCATTGCCAAAGGGCTACAAAAAGATGTGGAAAAACACAATCTAATCCCAAAAGTTATGCAACCTTTACCCAAAATATCTCCTCCATTTACCCAACGTCTCAACAAGAAGAATGAGGATGGGAAGTTCAAGAAGTTTTTATCGGTGTTCAAGACATTATCAATTAATATCCCTCTAGTGGAAGCATTATTGGAAATGCCGGGTTATGCTAAGTTTATGAAGGAGTTAGTCACAAAGAAAAGGAGCTTGGATTTTGAGACAATTGAAGTTTCTCATAGTTGTAGTGCAATTATGAGTAAGCATTTGATCAAAAAGAGAGAAGACCCCGGAGCGTTCACCATTCCTTGCACCATCGGCATGCTCCAATTTGCTAAAGCCCTATGCGACTTGGGAGCAAGCATCAACCTAATGCCATATGTGGGGATACTATATGACATTTTGGTAAAGGTTGACCGATTCATTTTCCTGGCTGATTTTGTCATTCTCGATTGTGAAATAGATGCTGAAATTCCCATCATTTTGGGAAGACCATTCTTGGCAACCGGGAGAGCGTTAATGGATGTTGAAAGTGGAGAACTGAAGTTTTGGGTGAATGAAGATGAAGTAACCTTTAATGTTTTTAAGTTAATGAAACAATAAAGTGATATTCACGCGGTCTCCACTGTTGATGTTATTGATGAGGCGGTGGCTAGTGTGAGCCATTTGATGTGTATAAGTAAACCACTTGAAGCCGTACTTGCTAACTATGATGAATTCGAAATCCAAGGCTATGAAGAGGTACTAACTACACTTTCAAGCTTTGAGGGGAGGGTATTCAAAGACTCCATTGAAGTTGGACATTGATCAAAAAAATTGAGAAAGTCCTCCCGCAAAGCCATTAACAGAAGAACCACCAAATCTTGAGTTGAAAGTACTTCCCTCCCATCTCTGATATGCTTTATTAGGGGCAAATAACACCTTACTGGTGATCATTGCAGCTGACTTGCTTGAATGGAAGGTAAATTTTTTCCTTGAGCTGTTGAGAAGGCATATCAAAGCTATAGGTTGGAGTATCGCTCATATAGTGGGCATTCCACCCAGTATTTTCACTCACAAAATTCAGCTTGATAGTGACTATAACTCGAGTCTTGAACAACAGTGGAGATTGAACCCATCGATGCATGAGGTGGTGAAAAAAAGATAATAAAGTGGTTGGATCCAGGTGTGATCCACCCTATTGCGGATAGCAAATGGGTAAGTCTGGTACAATGTGTACTGAAAAAAGGAGGCATCACAGTAGTCCCAAATGAATAGGGGGAGCTTGTATCTGTAAGACCGGTGACCGGATGGAAATTATGCATGGATTACCGAAAGTTAAACTTCTAGACGAAAAAGGATCACTTTCCCATGCCTTTCATGGATCAAATGCTTGATCGACTCTGAGAGAGAGGATGGTATTTCGGTTATAACCAAATCTCCATTGCTCCAGAAGACCAAGAGAAAACCACCTTCACCTGCCCATATGGAATGTTTTCTTTTAAACTAATGTCATTCGGGTTATATAATGCTCCGACATCATTTCAACGTTGCATGTTATCTATTTTTGCTGACACAGTGGAGGATTCAATGGAGATATGCATGGATGAGTTCTCGGTTGTGGGTGACACTTTTTAAGCATGTTTAGCACACTTAGGACAAGTTCTCCAAAGATGTGTGGAAACAAATTTTGTCCTAAATTGGGAAAAATGCCATTTCATGGTGAAGGAAGGTATAGTTCTTGGTCACAAAGTGTGCCAAAAGGGGTTGGAGGTTGATAAACAAAGATTGAAGTGATTGAGAAGTTACCACCACCAATTTTGGTGAAGGGTATTCATAGTTTCTTGGGACATGTCGGCTTCTACTGGAGGTTCATTAAAGACTTCTCAAAGATTGCACATCCTCTATGCAAACTCTTGGAGAAGGAGGTGAAATTCCACTTTGATGATGCTTGCATGGTGGCTTTCAAGTGATTTTTTTTGAAAATGATCTCCACCTCGATTATCATTAGTCTCGATTGGTCATAATCCTTCGAAGTAATGTGTGATGCAAGAGGCACAGTATTAGGTGCTGTATTGGGGGAAAAACGCAACAAACTATTTCACCCCATTTACTACGCAAGCAGAACTCTAAACAGTGCTCAACGTAACTATACAGGTACAAAACAAGAGTTACTTGCGGTAGTTTATGTGTTTGAGAAGTTCCAGGCATACTTTCTAGGTATTGAAGTGGTTGTTCACACTGATCATGTTGCACTGCGTTATCTGATGGCATAAAAGGATGCCAAGCCAAGATTAATAAGGTGGGTGCTACTATTGCAAGAAGTCGACTTTGAAGTCAAAGATAGGAGAGTTTATGAAAATCAGGTGGCTGACCACTTATCAAGATTGGAAGGCAAGGAAAATGACGAGCTGGAGATCGACCTAAATGATTCTTTTCCCGATGAACATGTATTCACAGTAACTCTCAAACAACCTCTTTGGTATACTAATTTTTCCAATTACGTAGTGTGTGGATTAATGCCGAACAAACTGAACTTCTGCCAACAAAAGAGGTTCTTGTTCGATTTTAAGAAGTACTTTTGGGATGAACCATATTTATTCAGAGAGTGTGCAGACTATATCTTTAGGAGATGTGTTCCGGAAGAAGAAGCCATCGAAATTTTCCATGCTTGTCATGCTTCATCGGTTGGGGGTCATCACGGTGGTGTACGCACAGCTGTTAAAGTCCTTCAAAGTAGCTTCTACTGGTCGTCCCTCTACAAATATACTTATGTGTTTGTTAAGAAGTGCACTCAATGTCAAAAACAAGGTGAGGTGTCCAAAAGACACTAGTTTCCCCTTACGCCCATTTTAGAAGTTGAGCTATTTGATGTTTGGGGAATAGATTTCATGGGCCCATTTATAAGTTCGTTTGGTAATAAGTATATTTTGGTTGCCGTAGATTATGTTTCTAAATGGGTTGAGACTGTTGCACTTCCAAACAATGAAGGGAAAAGTGTTGTTCAATTTTTGAAATGCTACATCTTTGCTAGAATTGGTACTCCTCGGGCTATTATTAGTGATGTGGGATCCAATTTTTGCAAAATGTATTTTGCATCCACATTGAGCAAATATGGAGTGAAACACAAAGTAGCGACTCCGTATCATCCCCAAACGAGCGGCGAAGTTGAAGTGTCTAATCGAGAGATCAACAGTATCCTAGCCAAGCTGGTGAATGCTAATAGGATTGGTTTCTCTCGAAAGCTCGATGATTCTTTATGGGCGTATCGCACTGCATAAAAAACACCAATTGGTATGTCACCATATCATCTAGTTTTCAGAAAATCTTACCATTTACCTGTTGAACTGGAAAACAAAGCATTATGGGCATGGAACGCTCCAAATCTGGACTGGACAAAGACTTCAAAAGAGAGAGTAGATCAGATAAATGAGTTGGACGAATTCAGGTTCAGGGTGTTTGAAAGTTCAACTCTTTACAAGGAAAATATGAAGAAGTGACATGATTCTAGAATACTTAAGAGGGAGTTAAGAGTTGGAGATTGGATTTTGCTATATAACTCTAGATTCAGGATCTTTCAAGGAAAGCTCAAATCCAAATGGTCAGGTCCATTCAGAGTAACACGGGTGTTCACAAATGGTGCCATTGAAGTCGAAGGTAAAGAGGGACATGCAATAAAAGTGAATAGGCAATGCTTGATGTTGTATTTTGGCGAATGGCAAGAGATTTCTCTAATTGAAGTGGTGTATCTGGAAGATTCTTGAGAACATTTCCACGTCGTGCCACGATGTTAAATAAGGCGCTTCTTGGGAGGCAACCCAAGTGTTAGTACTTCAAATAATGTGCGCTAGTTTTGCAGGTGCAAGAAATTGTGCGAGGTGATGATACCATAGGCGGATCTCGGATCGGTTCGGTGAACCCGACCTAGCCCACCTTCTGGGCTTTGAAAATGGAGCTGCGACACTGGAACTTTAGGAGGGAATTGTCATCACTCGGCGACTCACCGAAGTGATTGGGCGACCTAATTTTTTCCACCCCTTGGCCCCAGCTCAAATGGCCTAACCCAATGGATCATTCGGCGAGGATGAAACTCCATTATATGAAGCATCGACCGGTTCGATGATCTCTTTCAACTCCTCCATTTTTCCCCTTTCTAAATATGATGCGCACTGGAAATAACGGCGGTATCCTGATCATTGGGCGAGTCACCAAGTAGTTCAGCGACTGTTACACCTTCTCACCAAATGAGCGCCTAGTGAAGATTTCTTGTCACTTTGCTTTGTGTGTTTACATATCAGTAGTTTATTTTTATTTGTCATTTTTGGTAGTGTTTGTTCTCCAATACCATTGAGGAAAGTGTTGAATGCTTTTGGTAGGGGTGTGTGTTTGGGCAGTAAGTCCCTTGCTCGTTCAGAAAAAGTTATTTATTTGAGTATCGGTCATGATCAATACCGATGACTTGAATAGTGCTCTTAATCGAACAAAAATAAATGTGCGGCTACGATGAGGCCAAATGAAGTTGCGTAGACAATATGTAAACTTTTTGCATCTCATGGTGACTAGCCGATTATCGAATTGAGTCTCTTGTGATGAACATTGCACACTAGAGAAAGTGTGGAGTCTTGTTTGATATTGGTTCAAATTCCTTGTGTGAGGAGCTTACCGTGAACTATGTGTGATTACACCTAGAATTTGCCCTGTTGGTCTAGTTGACTAAGTTATGCAAACCCTTGAAATGATCTTAGGCAACAATTCTAAAGAATGAAACAATTTTACATTATACCTCTTTTATGGCCTACCTTGTGAGTGTGTGAACTCTGCTTGAACATCCTTTCAGCCCTATCATTTTTCCTTGGAAGAAACTTGATGAAATTGTGACCTTTCTTTATCCCTTCACCCATAATGCTCATGAAATGTGGTTTGTTTAAATAGCCACTTACTCCAAGAGACTACGTTGGGGTGTAGTGAAAGGAAGGTAAATCAAGATGTGCAAAGAAGTCCCCCTTGACCCATGGTTTTGAGAAAGATGGAACCCCTCCATACAAAAAAAAAAAAGAAAAAGAAAAGAAATGAAAAAGAAAAAGAATGAAAAAAGTTGTGGAATAAAGTTGTGAAAGTTGCAAAATAAATGGGGTGTCCGGTATTCCATGGAAAGTGAATAAAGGTGTGAATTTTGAGCATGAATGAGAATGATGAAGAAAAGGAAAGTAAATGTTGTTGATACCACATTTCATGAGGCTAATAGCCACTGAGCCTAAATAACCATACCTTTACACTCAGACCTGTTACAAGCCTTGAAAAGACCTTTTTGATCTTGAGTGAGCTGAAACAAGTGTTGATTGGTAAATAAGGGTAAACATATGGGTGAAGTCATGCATGTGTTCATCTTTGTGAGTGTGAGAGTTGTCTGTAATTCCGGAGCTATAATTTGCTGAACAATTGTGTGTGAATATGGAATCATTCTTTGTGTGTGGGCATTTAAGTAACTTTGTTGAGCTTGAACTTGCATTTGAAGCAAGTATTGTGAACTTGAGAATCTTTGATAATGGTGAGTCACAACTTGAATCTATTAGTGCACAATTGATCCTTGGATAAGTAAGTTGAGTTTTGTTGTGTGCATTCAT